CTAATTTGCTATCCTTTACAACATTACTTTTAAATCATTTTGAATGATTTCTTCGCCGCCTAAGTTTTTTTTCTTTTTTTAGGAGACATGGTCTCACTCTGTCACTCAGGCTGAAGTGTAGTGGCAAATTCATGGCTCACTGCAGCCTTGATCTCCTGGGCTAAAGCAATTCTTCCCCCTTAGTTTCCCAAGTACTTGGGACCCCAGGTGCACACCATCATGTCCAGCTAATTTTTAAAAAATTTTTGTAGAAATGAGATCTCACTGTGTTGCCCAGCTGACCTCAATCTATCCTCTCACCTTTGCCTCCAAAAGTGCTGCAATTATAGGCATGAACCATCACACCTGGCAGCTTCACTGTGTGTGTGTGTGTGTGTGTGTGTGTGTGTGTGTGTGTGTGTGTATGTGTGTCTAGACAGGTCTCACTCTGTTGCCCAGGCTGGAGGGCAGTAATGCAATCTTGGTTCACTGTAGCCTCCACTTCCTGAGTTCAAGCAATTCTCCCACCTCAGCTTCCCAAGTAGCTGGGAGTACAGGCACATACCACCACACTCAGCTAATTTTTGTATTTTTTGGTAGAGATGGGGTCACCGTGTTGGCCAGGCTATTCTCAAACTCCTGACCTCAAGCGATCCACGCACCTGGGCCTCTCAAAGTACTGGGATTACAGGCATGAGCCACTGCACCCAGCCAACTTCAGGCATTTTCAGGCTCTGTTACTAGGTGCATATGCGTTTAAGATTGTTATGCCCTCTTGATGAAATGAACCCTTCATTTTACGAAATGACATTTATTATTCCTGGTAATATTCTTTGTTCTGAAATTTATTTGCCTGGGTGCTCCACTACTTAGAAACTCCTTAAAGACAATAAGCTAGGACAATGACAGGGCTTACCTCATTTGCCTCTTATCTCTCAGGAATAATTGTCTTTTGTTGTTTGTTGCCTAAGTGTCTTTAAAATATTATTTCATACACTTTCAGCAGTTTTTAGTTGTTTCAGTCAGGAGAATAAATCTGGCACGTATTATGCCATCTGGACATGAAGGTGAAGTCATTAAGTGCATCATCTCATTTGATCCTCATTGGAATCTTATGAGGTAAGTATTATTCTTTTTAGTGAAGAAAAAAGTGAAGTCTCAGTGTGGATAATTGGTCTACATTTACACAACTAGCAAAATCAGTTGAAATAAATGGATCAGATAATGATTTGGGTGATAGACACAACTATTTCCTGAAACTAAAATAAGACTCATGGTGTAAGATCTTTTAATAATTTGTAAATTTACTTAACGTAATAAATTTCACAATGATAAAAAGACCTAAATGCATTTAAGTTTGCATGTAATGATTTGCTTTAACGGACAATAGTGCAGTACATAAAATGAAGTCTGTCTCAGAAAATCTAGGCTAAAAATTCAAAGTACTTGATGGGAGAAATGATGAAATCTTACAGCCAGTGAGACTGAACAAAGGATAAAAGCTAACAATATTTATTTCTGGTAGGAATTCGACCTGTTGCCATAGTTTTAAAATATCCTTAAAGCCAGCAATCCTGAAGCAAATATTTTTAGTATTCAGGGGAGGGTTTAAAAGAAACGAACAACAGAACTGTGTTTTTTTAACCTTCTATTTTCTTTTGCCCATTTGAATGAAATGGAAGTAAATAATCCTGAGTGGCTTGGGAGGGGCCACCCAAAAAATTATTCAATCTGTGTCACAAAGATAGTCTTAGGGCATAAATGCCTCAATTTAGCAAATGTTCTGCAGTGGGCTGAGTAGAAACAATGGGAAATCCTAGTTCAAAGGTGCCTCCTTCTTCTAAAGTGCATATCATGGTGTCTGGCGCATCAGAAACCCTAGCAAATTTGAGTTCCCTTTCCTTCTTTCCAAGCAGAATAGATCAGACCAAACACGTCCCTGTCACAAAAGAAGGAGCAACTCAAGGACACCCAGGCAAGGCTAGATGAGGAGGTTTAATTTGTTTTTATCTTGGAGATCCTTCATTGACACTAATTAATCTCTCCCTCAAACTTGGAGGGTTAGCAAACCTCTTTTAAAATAGCTGCAATATAACTCTCCCTAAATGGGATTTTAACTAATGTATAATAATTACTCTTATCATAACAGCATCTCTTTACCACATTCAGAAGAGAACTTCGCCTGTCTGCCATAAGTGGTGTTATTAGAGGGAGGAGAGGGTTTTTTCCTGTCCATTCATGCTCCAGCTGCCATTCAGCTGCATTCTGTGGGGACAATGATCCTTGCCTTTTATGGAGTACAGATGGAAATACAGAACCACAGCATTCAGAGAGATTCTGCTGTCTGCCACAGAATGCTAGTCTGCTCTGTTTCTTTGGAAATGCATAATATTTCTGAGCTATATAAAAACTCTCTTTAAAAAGAAAACTGCTTTCTGAGTCCACCGATGCCAAGAAAGAGAAGTCAGATATGGAGAGGCACTGTTACAGATTTGGCCTTTAGATAAAATGCCTTTTTGTTGTTGTTGAAATGCAAAGAGAATTTGTAGCCACATTGCATGAACCAAAACTGAATTGCACAAAAATCTGATTCGAGAGCTCATTTTGCCCTTGGACACAACAACAGAAAAGCATTTGTTTGCACCTAGTCCGTCTGTGACTTGCTAAAGTAGAAAAAAGCATGGGCTTTAGCGTCAAATAGACCTGGGTTTGAATCTTAAACTGTCATGTGAGGATAGAGCCTCTAAGGTAGTGCTATCCCATAGAACTTTCTGCCATGTTAGAAATGTTCTATGCCTGTGCAAAATAGCAAGGAGCCACTAGCTACATGTAGCTATTGAACATTCGAAATTTGACAACAGAAACTGTGGAGTTGAATATATATGTGTGTGTGTATATATATATATATATAT